TACGGTGGCACCGTAGGGTATAAACTTTCCAGCCGCCCAAGGACAGGCGCCCCCGACAGCGAACACAATTATTTTATACCATTCTTCGCTCGCTGAGTATCGTTCTCCGATTGTTGCCCCAGGCGGCCGGCGCCTACTTCCTGGAGCGCCGCCAGACCAGGAGGGCCACCGCCGCGGCGGCCACGGCGCAGACGGCAGTGGCCACGACCACCGCCTCGGGCGGCAGGAGGCCCCAAAGGGGTCGATGTGCCAAACGGGGCCAAGACATTTGAGGTCTCGCCTCCGCCGCTGTTTTTCAACGCTGATGTTTTTTCCTCGACCCGGACGCCCCATGCAGGCCCCAGACAATTCAAAACACGTCGAAAACTGCCCCCCCGAAAAACTCGAGAAACCTGGGGGGCACGCGTGAGAAAACACAAGTCGGAACTTTCTGGCCCCCCGTCTGCGCCCCCCCCACCCCCAGCACCACCCCGGGCCTCTCATCAGCGGGAGCGCGGGCTGCTCGCCCAGCGTCGAAGGCCCTCCTCCCCCACACGAACACAGGATGATTACGGTCGCAATTTTGGATAAACAAGGGGGATCTCTGAGTCCCGGCGCGGCTGGACCATGCACCGCGCGACGCAACAGTCTCAGGATGGTGCTGAAAACTCGGGAGAAATCTCCGAAGGTCTGGCTTGTCCAACCCCCATTACTGTGAACGGAAAAAGGAAGCCGAAGGGCTGATTCGTCCGACTGGAAGAAATCCGTGGGTAGAGGAAGGATGACAGCGATGAGGGGTTTCTCCCTCAATGCTGTCCAATCATGTCAGAGTGTTATCTCCAGTGCCTGAGCCGAGGATGGGCACCGGTAGAATAAGAGAGTGGGAAAGAAAGAAAAAGACACATAAATAGAGAGAGAGAGAGAGAGAGAGAGAGAGAGAGAGAGAGAGGGATAGATAAATATGTAGCACCAAGAATTCGCAGATAAGAGTGAGGGGGCAGCGGGGGCGTTTGCAGTCTGCGAAGCTCTGAAGAAGCCCGCTGCACTCGCCGAATTTCTATTAAATTATACAACGAGCCTGCCGCAGGCGCCGATTTTTGTGTCAAAACAATGTGGATGGGTCGCGGGTGGGTCGCGAGCCGGGGTCGCGGGTGGGTCGCAAGTGGGTCGCGGGAAGGTCGCGAGCTGGGTCGCGGGTGGGTCGCGGGCGGGTCGCGAGGTGGGTCGCGAACCGGGGTCGCGGGTGGGTCGCGGGCTGGGTCGCGGGCGGATCGCGGGTGGGTCGCGGGCGAATCGCGCGGCGGGTCACGGGGGGGGGACGGCGACAAACAACAACAACAACAACAACAACAACAATTACTAGCACGTGGGGACACTCCGTTCTCACCAGTGCCAGGGTTTTCATAGGAGGCGGGCAATGCCCCCACTTTGTGGGGGGGCCGGTTCAAGCTCTACCAAATTTCCAAACGACTCTTCGCCACCACCCACACCCAGCTTCCCGCCCTATGACGTTCGGACACTTCACTTCGTGGCATGCGGACGACCGTGGCTACTATTCAGGGCCCCGCGGCCGACGACGACGGCGTGCGCGCGCGAAGAAAAAACGAATGTGTCCCGCATGGTATTATTTGACAGGGATGATGGCCCTGGCAGGTGCGCAACCGTTGTCGCAGAAGTTCGAAAAAGTTGCTCGCAAAAGCCCGTTTGACAGAAATGTTTAAAAAGTGTTGGGTTTCCTACGAATCCGCAAGAGCGCGCGGGATGAGATTTTGACATTTTTTTGTTGAAAAACCATTGGTTTTTTGATGTTTTTATGTTAAAATCGCTCCGAACACTAAGCTTTTGGAAGGATTTCGTCTTGCGCGCGCGAATGTCCACTTTACCTTATTTTTTGCAAGGGATTCTTGAAATTTGATTATATTAGAACAAGAAATGTCATTTTATAGTGTTTTTTGCAAGGGAAAACGGATTACAACAAAACAACCGGATCTGGACCCCATCCACTTTTCTGAAGCTTTCGCGAAAAAATGATGAAAATGTAGCTGCGGCCTAGGCGCGGCGGGGGGGCCGTGCACCAGGGGTCCCAACAATAATTATTCTTTAGAATTAATAATGTTCAACACCAACAACAACAACAGCAACAACAACAACAATCAACAACAACAACAACAACAACAACAACAACAACAACAACAACAACAACAACAACAACAACAATCATTATAATACTGTTCGTTCTTACTTGCCCGCGTGTCATTCCAAGCGAGTTCCCCACACCCTCGATAACCGCCCTTTTTGTCTTCGATCACACCCCCTTTTTGTGGGGATTGTTTCTCTTTGCGGGGGGCGGCAGGCTTAGACAGGCGGGCAAACCTGAACGCGTGGACAATCCTTCTTGGGCGTACATGCGCCCGCAATAGAGGGAGGAGGAACAGGAAGGTAAGAACGTGAACGTTCGAAAAAATGCTAGGCGAAAGCGCCGTTCCTGAAGGAACTCTCGCGCGGGAGCCCACGACGGGCGGGTGATGCCCTGATGGGCGGGTTGGGCGGGTGGGACATTCAAGCGGGATGCCTGACTATGGCGAAAAGGCGGTTACTAACTAAATTGTGACGGCGTCATTGGCGCAGCGTTTCCTGAGCGTCGAAAGCGCGATTTCTGACTAAATTGCATGGAAATCACATGCGGGAGCGCAAGTCCTAAATAAAATGTGAAGGGTTCTCTGGCGGAAGGGGGGGGGTCTTGATTAAATTGCGAGGAAGTTTTGATTCAATTGCGAGGACGTCTCAAGCGGGAGCGCCGTTCGTGAGCAAATTGTGAGGAAGTCTCAAATAGGAGCGGGAGTCCGGACTACATTGCGAGGAAAGTCGCAGGCGGGAGCACCGATCCTGAGTAAATTGTGAGGAAGTCTCAGGAGCGGGGGTCTTGAATAAATTTGGAGGAAGTCTCAAGCGGGAACCGTTGTTGTTATAATCCGGGGGGCCAGGGACCCAGTTTGAGCACCAAGACTTTCCCTGTCAACAAAACAGGGTGCGAGCGTCGAGGGGCACACTTTGATTGGGAAAAAGCGGTATGCACTGGTGAGAAGGGGATCAACAGAAATTATTCTTCAGGAATGAACGTTCAACAACAACAACAACAATAACAGCAACAGCGACAACAACATCAACAGTAACAGCAGCGACAACTGCAACAGCGACAACAACAACAACCAACAACCACCACCACCAACAACAACAGCAACAGCAACAGCAACAACAACACAACAACAATCAACAAACAGCAACAACAGCAATCATTCCCCAATCAGTGCTTGCACTAAAGGGGTCCTAGCGAAGGTTGAAAGATTTGGCGAACATTTCTCGCCGATGTTGGTCGAACGTTGGGTTCCCGAGTTCCCGGTTCTCGGGTTCCCGGTTCCTGGGCCGATTTCGGTGGGCGGCGAAGTTCCCAGATTCCCGGGTTCCTGGTCGATTTTCTTACCCATCGCCCTCATCATCGATCTCATTTCCCACCTCTCTTTCGATCACACCATCGACCTCACAACCGATCTCGCAATCGATCTCGCAAGCGATCTCACTGGAGATCGCACGAGCGATCTCGCGATCGATCTCCCTTCCGATCTCATTGAATCGATGTCACTCTCGGTTTCAGGATCGGCCTTACAATCGTCCTCTATCGATTCCACGGTCGATCTCGTTATCGGTCTCACAGTCGACCTCAAGATCCACATGGCGAGTTTTTCATCATCTACTGATTAGGGTCTTCTCAACTGTAATTTTAATACCGTTCGCTCTTACCTGCTCGAGTGTTATTTAACGTGTATTTCCCAAACCCTCGGTGCCCGCCCCCTTTGTCATCGATCGCGCCCCTTTGGGGGGGCCCATCTTTCTTCCCTGCAGGCCGGGCCCCGGCGAGCGGCGGCATTTGGTTTTAGTGGATACCTCGAACGAAACGCGGATTTGTAAACGAAAATGTTGACAACACACGGGTGCTACAATAATTTCGCTCCTTGGGCGATCTTATAGGTCATCTGAGATCGTTCCGAAAAGTGCCTTGCATGAGTTCCTGGCGCCTCTCATTTTTTGAGGGTGTCTCAGGCGTGACGTCCAATCTCGGAGGTCCGGCGATAAGACCGACGATTTCAACGTCCCAATGTTCCGAAGATGTCTCGGGCGATGCGCTCATTTTCAGCATGGGGAGTCTTGAACTGCGACCCCCAATTGTGCGATTCGGCAAGAATGTCTCAGGCGAAGCGCTCGTTTTTCAAATCCGCCGTGCACCAGCGGAGGCTCGGCCCCGCCGCCGGCCCCCCGCGACCCCCCGCTCGACGCGTGGATTCCCCCCCCGGCCCAGAAGCAATGTTCATCGCGCGACTCTTCGAGTCTAAGCGCGTTTTTTTATGGCGCAAGCCCGACCCAAGAGGTCTCGCGGGCTTCCGCGAGGCCTGCAGGAAGGCCCGCGCAAGCGCGCGTGCACGGGCGCGTCGCGCGAGGCATCCATCCCCTGATGGATAGCATCGCCCGATGATCAACAACCCCCCGGTCGCGCGACTGGCGGGCAACAAACGTTTGGCACAAAAATAAGTTGCGGGGCGCCCGCGCCATCATGCAAAACTGATCAAGATAGAGACTGGACTGAACAAAACAGATCTGCGGCCCTCAGGATCGGGGATCACCTTCGAAGTGAACCCAACATCCGTCGCAGCCTTATTCCCTCTCCCCCTTTGCCTTCGCCTTCGGCGCGATGGCCGGCGCATCCACTCTCTTGGCGGCCTTGGAGCGCGGAGCGCGATCGTCGTCTATCTGCGCGCCTGCCAGCCCCTGCCACTTCGTCGCCTGGCGCAGCGCGCGGATGGCCTCGATCAACTCTCGGCGGCGATCCGCAACCAGGATCCATCGAACCTCGCCCTCTTTCTCCTCCTCCCTGCGCTCGATCACGAAGCGCCTTGAGGCCTGGGGCGAGTTCTTCTCGGGGGCCTTCTCGCCGGCTGCGATCGAAGCCTTCGAGGCTGCCGGCGCCCAATGCTGGCCGCCGTGGGGCGCGCCCACCTCCAGCGCGGCCCCGTGCTCGCGCGACGCCCGAAGTAGGTGGTGCAGCACTGCGCGGGACAAGGTTTCTGGGCGCGCGCCCTGTGGATGGTCCATGTGCATCGCGCACTTCTCTGCGGCCACGGCCTCGACGATCTTGCCCTCGGAGTGGCGTGATTCCCCTGCGCGATCCATGCTCCGCTTCAT